AACATGTAACACTTACTCTTCTCCTCCCTTTTACACTTCTGGAAAAAGGAGACATGCAGAACCCAGCTGAGCAGAGCCTAGCTGAGCCCATCAAAGTTGCAGCTGACCTGTCACCCCAAAGAAATATGAGTAAGAAATAAATATTTTTGTTCTTTTAAGTCACTAAGATTTGAGGTTTGGTTGTTATCTATGGTGATGGGTGTGAGGCACTCTCCTTGAGGGCAAAATTCACAGGATTTCAAACAACTCAGGAATCAAGATGAGTGAAATTTTATGCAATGCTTTTAGAAAGGTCACAATTAATGCAAAAAGAATCCACGATGAACAAAACATCAAAAGTCTGAATACAGACAAAACCAGCAGTGTAACCTAGCCCAAGTTGACTGAAGGGAAGAGCTTTGATGCAATGAGCATAAATCCCTGGTGGAGTTCTAGTAAATGGTAACAGACAGAAAACATCATGAATAAATGTCAACATCGGTTAGAAACATGCTTCTGAGTTAATGATCCATTATCACATTTCCCGCTTTGCTTTTGGTGAGTTTTTAAAATTTCTAAACAAACCTTTCAAACAACAGATTTCAAGAGAAGAGCAAATCAAAAAGAAAAACAAACACGGGACACATTAGAAATCCTGGAGAGGATGAAGAGCCCCTTTGGAGGGGTAGGTGGTATAAGGACGCCGCCTTCAGCCCAGCAGGTGGATTCCTCTTATGCTATATGGTTTTCAAAAACAAGGCTTCTGGACAAGAATATAATTCAAAAAGATACATGCACCCCTATGTTCATAGCAGCACTATTCATAATAGCCAAGATGTGGGAGGAACCTAAAAGTTCACTGACAGATGAATGGATAAAGAATATGTGGTACATATATACAATGGAATACTACTCAGCCATAAGAAGAATGAAAAACAACATTTTGCAACAACACAGAGATTATCATGCTAAGTGAAGTGAGTCAGAAAGAGAAAGACAAATACATTATGATATCACTTACAGGTGGAATCTAAGACACAACATAAATGCACATATCATTTCCTCCACCATAGTTTGGCCTCAGGTCAAACAACAGGGAGGGAACACAGCCCTGCCCATCAACAGAAAATTGGATTAAAGATTTACTGAACATGGTCCAAGCCCATCAGAACAAGACCCAGTTTCCCCTTTAGTCAGTCTCTCCCATCAGGAAGCTTCCATAAGCCTCTTATCCTTATCCATCAAGGGCAGACAGACTGAAAAACCACAGTCTCAGTAAACGAACCAATCTGATCACATGGACCACAGCCTTGTTTAATTCAGTGAAACTATGAGCCACGCCATGCAGGGCCACCCAAGATGGATGGGTCATGGTGGAGAGTTCTGACAAAATGTAGTCCACTGGAGAAGGCAATGGCAAACCACTGCAGTATTCTTGCCTTGAGAACCCCATGAGCAGTATGAAAAGGCAAGAAGATAGGACACTGAAAGATGAACTCCCTAGGTTGGCAGGTGCCCAATATGCTACAGGAGATCAGTGGAGAAATAACTCCAGAAAGAATGAAGAGATGGAGCCAAAGCAAAAACAACACTCAGTTGTGGATGCAACTGATGATGGAAGTAAAGTTCGATGCTGTAAAGAACAATATTGCATAGGAACCTGGAATGTTTCTTGAATTAGGAACTTGAAATAGGTCCATGAATCAAGGCAAATTAGAAGTGATCAAACAGGAGATGGTAAGAGTGAACATTGACATTCTAGGAATCAGTGAACTAAAATGGACTGGAACAGATGAATTTAACTCAGATGACCATTATATATATTACTGTGGACAAGAATCCCTTAGAAGAAATGGAGTAGCCATCATAGTCAACAAGAGTCTGAAATGCAGTACTTGGGTACAATCTTAAAACCAACAGAATGATCTCTATTTGTTCCCAAGGAAAACCATTCAATATCACAGTAATCTAAGTCTATGCCCAAACCAGTAATGCTGAAGAAGCTGAAATTGAATGGTTCTACGAAGACCTACAAGACCTTCTAGAACTAACACCCCAAAAAGATGTCCTTATCATTACAGGGGACTGGAGTGCAAAAGTAGGAAGTGAAGAGATACCTGGAGTAACAGGTAAATTTGGCCTTGGAGTACAAAACAAAACAGGTCAAAGGCTAACAGAGTTTTGCCAAAAGAACGCCCTGGTCATAGCAAAACCCCTCTTCCAACAACACAAGAGAAGACTCTACAAATGGACATCACCAGACAGTCAATACCGAAATCAGACTGATTATGTTCTTTATAGCCAAAGATGGAGAGGCTCTATACAGTCAGCAAAAACAAGACCAGGAGCTGACTGTGGCTCAGATCATGAACTCCTTATTGCCAAATTCAGACTTAAATTGAAGAAAGTAGGGAAAACCACTAGACCATTCAGGTATGACCTAAATCAAATCCCGTACGATTATACAGTGGAAGTGACAAATAGATTCAAGAGATTACCTGATAGAGTGCCTGAGGAACTATGGACATGACATTGTACAGGAGGCAGTGATCAAGACCATCCCCAAGAAAAAGAAATGCAAAAAAGCAAAATGACTGTCGGAGGAGGCCTTACAAAGAGCTGAGAAAAGAAGAGAAGTTAAAGGCAAAGGAGAAAAGGAAAGATATAGTCATTTGAATGCAGAGTTCCAAAGAATAGCAAGGAGAGATAAGAAAGCCTTCCTCAGTGATCAATGCAAAGAAATAGAGGAAAACAACAGGATGGGAAAGACTAGAGATCTCAAGAAAATTAGAGATACCAAGGGAACATTTCATGCAAAGATGAGCATAATAAAGGACAGAAATGTTATGGACCTAACAAAAGCAGAAGATATTAAGAAGAGGTGGCAAGAATACACAAAATAACTATACAAAAAAGATCTTCATGACCCAGATAACCACAATGGTGTGATCCCTCACTTAGAGCCAGACATCCTGGAATGCAGTCAAGTGGGCCTTAGGAAGCATCACTATGAACAAAGTTAGTGTGATGGAATTTGAATTGAGCTATTTCAAATCTTAAAAGATGATGCTGTGAAAGTGTTGCACTCAATATGCCAGCAAATTTGGAAAACTCAGCAGTGGCCACAGGACTGGGAAAGGTCAGTTTTCATTCCAATCCCTAAGAAAGGCAATGCCAAAGAATGCTCAATCTACCACACAATTGCACTCATCTCACACACTAGCCAAGTAATGCTCAAAATTCTCCAAGTCAGGCTTCAATAGTACATGAACCGTGAACTTCCAGATGTTCAAACTGGTTTTAGAAAAGGCAGAGGACCAGAGATCAAATGGCCAGCATCCGCTGGATCATCCAAAAAGCAACAGAGTTCCAGAAAAACACCTACTTCTGCTTTATTGATTACGCCAGAGCCTTTGACTGTGGATCACAGTCAAAGATCACAACAAACTGTGGAAAATTCTTCAAGAGATGGGAACACCAGACCATCTGACCTGCCTCCTGATAAACCTGTATGCAGGTCAGGAAGCAACAGTTAGAACTGGACATGGAACAACAGACTGGTTCCAAATCAGGAAAGGAGTACATCAAGGCTGTACTGTCGAGGAGTACTGTCAGCCGCGTGTTTAACTCACATGCAGAGCACATCAGGCAAAATGCAGGCTGGGTGAAGCACACGCTGGAATCAAGATTGCCGGGAGAAGTATCAATAACCTCAGACTGTCACCCCGCGTGTTTAGCTCACATGCAGAGCACATCAGGCAAAATGCAGGCTGGGTGAAGCACACGCTGGAATCAAGATTGCCGGGAGAAGTATCAATAACCTCAGACTGGCACCCCGCGTGTTTAACTCACATGCAGAGCACATCAGGCGAAATGCAGGCTGGGTGAAGCACACGCTGGAATCAAGATTGCCGGGAGAAGTATCAATAACCTCAGACTGTCACCCCGCGTGTTTAACTCACATGCAGAGCACATCAGGCAAAATGCAGGCTGGGTGAAGCACACGCTGGAATCAAGATTGCCGGGAGAAGTATCAATAACCTCAGACTGTCACCCCGCGTGTTTAACTCACATGCAGAGCACATCAGGCAAAATGCAGGCTGGGTGAAGTACACGCTGGAATCAAGACTGCCGGGAGAAGTATCAATAACCTCAGACTGTGACCCCGCGTGTTTAACTCACATGCAGAGCACATCAGGCAAAATGCAGGCTGGATGAAGCACACGCTGGAATCAAGATTGCCGGGAGAAGTATCAATAACCTCAGACTGTCACCCCGCGTGTTTAACTCACATGCAGAGCACATCAGGCAAAATGCAGGCTGGGTAAAGCACACGCTGGAATCAAGATTGCCGGGAGAAGTATCAATAACCTCAGACTGTCACCCCGCGTGTTTAACTCACATGCAGAGCACATCAGGCGAAATGCAGGCTGGAGGAAGCACACGCTGGAATCAAGATTGCTGGGAGAAGTATCAATAACCTCAGACTGTCGCCCCGCGTGTTTAACTCACATGCAGAGCACATCAGGCAAAATGCAGGCTGGATGAAGCACACGCTGGAATCAAGATTGCCGGGAGAAGTATCAATAACCTCAGACTGTCACCCCGCGTGTTTAACTCACATGCAGAGCACATCAGGCAAAATGCGGGCTGGGTGAAGCACACGCTGGAATCAAGATTGCTGGGAGAAGTATCAATAACCTCAGATACACAGATGACACCACCCTTATGGCAGAGAGTGAAGAGAAACTAAAGAGCCTCTTGAGGAAGTGAGAGTGAAAAAGTTGGCTTAAAGCTCAATATTCAGAAAACTAAGATCATGGCATCTGGTCCCATCACTTCACGGCAAATAGTTGGGAAACAATGGAAACAGTGAGAGTTTATTTTTGGGGCTCCAAAACCACCACAGATGGTGACTGCAGCCATGAAATTAAAAGACGTTTACTCCCTGGAAGAAAAGCTATGACCAACCTAGACAGCATATTAAAAAGCAGAGACAATACTTTGCCAACAAAGTCCATCTAGTGAAAGCTATGGTTTTTCCAGTGGTCATATATGGATATGAGAGTTGGACTATGAAGAAAGCTGAGCACCAAAGAATTGATGCTTTTGAACTGTGGTGTTTGGAGAAGACTCTTGAGAATCCCTTGGACTGCAAGGAGACCCAACCAGTCAGTCCTTAAGGAAATCAGTCCTGAATATTCATTGGAAGGACTGATGCTGAAGCTGAAACTCCAATCCTTTGGCCACCTCATGTGAAGAACTGACTCATTTGAAAAGACCCTTGTGCTGGGAAAGATTGAAGGCAGGAGGAGAAGGGGACGACAGAGGATGAGACGGTTGGACGGCATCACCGACTCGATGGACATGGGTTTACGAGTGAACTCCGGGTTTGGTGATGGTCAGAGAAGCCTGCAGCGTTGCGGATGAGAATCTGTTGTTTGCATTGGGATGGTAAAACGTACAATCACTGCTACAGCGAAAGAGACAAGTATGTCCCCCAGAAAACAAGCAGAGGACGCACGGCACCATGATGTGGCAGCCGCTGTGCTGACTCTCCAGCGTGATGCAAAGAGAAGATCCTTCTCATCGAAGCTGCCAGAACTTCTGATGATGTGAGTACTTCTGTGGGAGTCCTGGGTATAAGAACCTGTGGGTGTTTACACTTGTCCAGTATGTGGCCGTTCATATAATAAGGAGACCAAAAACTCCTGGAAGGAATGTTAGTTGCTTAGTTTCACAGGAGTCAAGGAACAGGATTTCTGAGAAAATAAAAAGCCAGGCAAAGCAACTGACTGAGCCCAAGGTCCCCTGCATCCTTTCAGAAGCCCAAAGACCTGAAGACACAAGAACGCTCTCTCAGCCTTAATCAAAGCCACTGCTGGGGACATCAGACAGCCTTGCACAAAGCACTCTCCTTTGAGTTGTCCTGTCTCACTCCACACTTCAGTGACAACTCTTGTTGAGTTTAGACATTAATTTTCTCGCTCTGACTGCCCCCAATCCACGTTTTGTTTAGATCATGACCAAATTCTGTTTCTAGGCATCTACCTCAACATACATGATCCAATAAAACTTGAGTAATTTAAAATTCTAACTCCACCTTAGTCAGACAGAGAAGGAGAAATACAGTATGACATCTCATATATGCAGAATCTAAAAGGAAATGATACAAAATGAACTTATTTACCAGAGAGAAACAGACATGCAAGTCTTAGGGGACAAACTATGGTTGCTGGGCGGGGGGATGTGGGGGACACGAGGAACGGGGGAAGGGACAGTTAGGGAGCTGGGGATTGACATGTGTGCACTGCTATACTTAAGATGGATAACCAACAAGACTTACTGTAGAGCACGAGAATCCCACTCAGTGTTACGTGCCAGCCTGGATGGGAGGGGAGTGTGGGGGACAGTGGATGCACGTAGGGGAGTGTGGGGGACAGTGGATGCACGTATATGTGTGGCTGAGTCCCTCTGCTGTCCACCTGAGACTGTCACATTGTTAATCAGCTATATTTCAATATAAATAAAGTTTTAAGAAAGCCTTAATGTGTGTACACATTTTGGCTCAGTGATTTCACTTTTAGGAAATTATGTAAAGAAAACAGATTTATAAAAAAGCATCAACTTTTATCAACTCTGTCAACTAACAACAAAAAAATAGGTAAAGAACTTGAATAGATATTTATCCAAAGGAGACATATGCTCATTATCAATAATCACTAGGGAAATGCTAGTCAAAAACTATAATCAGATATCACCTCACACCTGTTAGGATGGCTACTATCAAAATATCAGAAAATAACAAGTGCTGGCAAGGAAGTGGAGAAATTAGAATGTCTGTACACTGTTGGTGAGAATCTGAAATGGTACAGCTACTCTGCAAAACAGGATGAAGGTATCTCATAAAATTAAAAACCAAATTACCCTATAATCCAGCAATTCCATTTCTGGGTATACCTAAAAGAACTAAAGGTAAGATCACAAAGAAATATCTGTATATTCATGTTTATCACATCCTTATTCACAATAGCCAAAAAGTGGAGACAATCCAAGTGGCCACTGATAGAAGAATGAACAAATAAAATGTGGTATATACATACAATTGAACACTATTTAGCCTTAAAAAGAAGGAAATTCTGACATATGCTACCACATAGATGAACCCTGAGGACATTATGCTAAGTAAAACAAGTCAGTCACAAAAAGAGAAACACTGTATGATTCCACTTTAACATGTGTGGAACAGTCAAAATCGTAGAAACAGAGAGGAGAGTGGTGGCTGCCAGGACCTGGAACAAGGCAAAAAGGGAGAGTGGCTGTTAAATGGTTATGGAGTTTCAGTCCTACAAGATGGAAAAACCTACGGAAATGGATAGTGATGATGGTTGTAAAACATTATGAATGTATTTAACACCACTGAACTGTACACTTGGAAATCTTAAAGATGGTAAATTTTGTTATGTGTACTTCATCACAATAAAAAGACTTAAGAAATATAATAACCAAAAGATAACATATAAATAAATAAAGTCTAACTCTGTAAGATCTGTCCACATACATTCCCAACATGACGTTATGATTACTCTCAAATTATGGAAATGATTGTGTGTTAAAATATTTAAATTTAACCCTATTATTAACTAGTAAGGAATGACAAATGAATTAGAAATTATTTCAATTATTGAGTACTTTATATATCATTTCATTTCATATTTACAATCAACTCTATGAGGTACCATGATCTCCGTTCTACATGGAAAGGAACCTACACTCAAAACGAGGTGGCTTGCTCAAGGTCCCCGACAGTAGGCACAGCAGTGAGGTATCAACCCGGGCTTTGTCTGACTCCACAGCCCAGTCTTTCCACTAAACCATGATGCTTCCCTCGAGCAGATTTAAACGAGTGAGAAGCGTTAATAAATGCTCAATCACTCAACTTTGTACAGATGAGTCTGAGTACATTTTAACTTTATTTTCAGGACTGGTCCAATAAGGCTGTACTTGGTCAATACCGCAGACATAATCTAGAGTCTATGGGGTACCTTAAAGAACATTTCTAAATACACACACAGCATTAGAAATGATTCAAAAACTCAGACCTTAGCTTGAAAAAAATGAATTACAGTTAATTTTTATTGTTCTTTAAAAATGAACTTTCTAAAATATTAGTAAACCTCATTTTTAGCTCTGTTTTGAAGTGTTGATACCAGTGAAGTAATCTTTTTCTTCTTTGAATCTTTTCCTCTAAATTTATAGTCTTCTCTTTTTCTAAGATAGCAGGAAGTTCCTCCCAGTTCTGAATAAAGATGAAAGGAGCATTCATGGACTTGAGCAACTGCAGAGGAGCATTAAGGTACACAGATGAATTTCCACAGCCGCCAGCTGTCATCACATCCTCCACCACAGGAACAGAGCCGCAGGAGCACGCCTCGTATATTCTGTAACACTCCGTGTTCACCCCTGCCGGGCACAGGGTGAGGTCGCTCCCGAGCAGAGCATCTTGGTAATTCTTAAGGCTTTCATTGGTTTCTTGAGGCCGCCACCTAGAAAATCAGAAAACCAGCTGCAGTTTTCATTTTACTAAGTGCATCTTTATGGAAGAAAATATTTTATCTTTTAATGTTGGTTACAGGAAATGGTAAATGCATTATAGAGATGGCAGGCAGAAGAGATGAATCAAGTCTTGCCCAAACAGGTTTCTTGAAAATATTTAAGAATTTGAGAAGTTGGCAGTTGTACACTTAAAATCTAGTGATCATACAGTTTCTGAATGAATGTGATACCGCCAAAATTTTGTGAGTGGTAGGTCTTCTCTCTCTACCTCACCCTCCAAATTCCTGCCCTTATGGAGCTTATATCTCAGTTCAAGTGGTAGAGACAGACAGTAACCAGGTCAAGCCAATTATTTAGAAGGTGTTAAGTACTGTGTGGAAAAACAGAGCAGAGAAGTGAGGAGGGAGTTTCTGGCAGGGCAGAATTACAACTGCAAACAGGCGATCAGGGAGTGTCTCGCTCAGGGGCGTCTGAATGTGGAGCCAGAGATGAGGGAGCAAGCCACGCAGATACCTGGGGAGAGGACAGAAGGCAGAGCAGGCATAAAGGCCACGAGATGGTCCGTGCCCGGCATTTTCAAGGGACAGCAAGGGAGCCAGGGGGCTAAGGCAGAGCAGCTCAAGGGGAGAGGCGGAGATGGAGCCAGAGCGCCCCGCACAGTGTCCACCAGAGGGCAAGTGACCTCATCTGTGTTTTAGCAGAAACAGTCTGGCTATTGTGTTGAGAACAGACTGTATGGGGCAAGGGTAGAAACTGAGAGACTAGCTGGAAAGCTAGACGTTTTCTATTTTCTCAGGGAAATAAGCAATAGGGTTATAAGGTAAGAGCAGCTGGGCAAAGGGTATGAAACGGTCTTCCAGGAAAGTGGGAGAACACATGAAAAACAGAAATGGATGACTGCCAGACATTCAAGGTCAGATATTTCAGGTGAGATCAGTCAGCACCCTTCTCCAAGTGTGGCTGCACAGGTGGAGGTATGCAGCAGGTAAGAGAGCTGGGTTTAACCAGTTAGGATTTGCTAGATTAAGAAATGAAGAAGCTGAATGTATATGCAGTCATGATTGACTATGAAGTTTGCAGCAGGTAAGAGAGCTGGATTTAACCAGTTAGGATTTGCTAGATTAAGAAATGAAGAAGCTGAATGTATATGCAGTCATGACTGACTATGAAGTTTGCAGCAGGTAAGAGAGCTGGATTTAACCAGTTAGGATTTGCTAGATTAAGAAATGAAGAAGCTGAATGTATATGCAGTCATGATTGACTATGAAGTTTAAGTGGGATAAATAAGAAAGTAAAGATTAGGTAAGTGAAGGACAATGGAAAGGTAGTAGGAACAAGGAATTATAAGTCCCAGCTAAATTGCTGAAATCAGATTATTACAGGGAATGAATGGGAGTGTTAGAAAAAGATGGGTCACAGAGAGAATTGCTGGAACTTGCGATCATGCAGTATGTATAATCATGAGGTCTAGAAAATGACCGTGACAGTGAATGGCTGAAGTCAAGTGGAGACCCAAATCACTGAAGGAGAGGAAGTAAAGGATGTGCAGGACCAAGGCTATGGAAAGACCATCTGTGTGGATTTGGGGATCACTAAGAATGAGGCTGGAGAAATGTCAGAGAGAATGAGCGTGCATCAGGAACTAGACTCTTCAAAGAATTAAGGAGATGAACCCAAGGTTTACATTTCTTTATAAAGGAGCTATTTTTTAAAATTAATTTTTATTGGAATAGTGTTGATTTACAATGTTAATTTCTGCTGTATAGCAATAAGCCATTTATACATAAACATATATCCACTGTTTTAGATCCTT